ACTTACATGCATATGCTTGACTCCAAATACTCACCAAATTATTCTACTCTACTAATATCGAACATTAAGCTATTGGGATCATTGGGGCTTTGTGGCTTTCAATTGTTAGGCTCTTTGGTTCGAGGTAGGAAATATGGGTATGTGTGGCTATTCTTCTTGAATTTAGGTGATTACGCCAAAATTTGAAAGATAGGCGTTTGAAACAATGAATTCACCTCTAAGGACTTTAATAAACTCGATTCTTAAGAGTTCAAAAGTCTCCACTTTTGCTTTTGAGGCAATGGGTCGAGTTTTCAAAAATAATTCAACAACTAGTCCTTATTTCTCCCTTCTAGTCTCTTCTTCTTCTTCTTTTTCTTTTTTTTTTTCTGTTTTTTTTTTCTTTTTTTTTATAATATATATATATAGAAGCATATATATTTATCTCTTTTTTTTTTCTTTTCTTTTTTTTTTCCTTTTTTTTTTCAAAGAAGAAGAAGGACCTTATAAAATTTTTCGACCGAACTCCAAGGGGTAATTTTCAAGAATCTCCACCTATTCTACCTTACACATTGGCTAAAAGAAAGAACACCTTTTCTCCGAGGCTCAAAACAAGGTTCTAAATATAATTTCGATAAAAATATCGGCTTGAAAGGCTCAAACGGTTCAAAGAAGGCCCAAATCATATCTCAAATCACTCACTACTCAATACTTCGTATCATAAATTTCCTAAGGTGAGTTCTAAAACCGAACATCGCATGATCTAGCACAAATTAATTCCAAATTTAAAATACAAAACATTCAACCAAAGCAATGCACAAAATGTGATTCCTAGCAATAATTCGCTTCTAAGTTCCTTTGAATCGAAAGCTAAACAAACATCAAATCCTTATCACATAAAACAAGCAATTTCATCATCAAACATTGATCATCTCTCATCATCATAAATCATAGATGCATTCGACTCAAGCATTTTTTTTTTATATTCCGGAAAAACGAGAAAAAACAATAAAAACGAATAAAACCTAATGCATGCAAACTAAAACAAATAAGCACAAAAATAACATGTTTTTCACCCCCAAACTTAAAATTTTCGTTGCCCTCAACGAATTTAGCACAAAGT